AAAAAAAAAAGTTCTATGAAAGCTACTGTTGGGAACTTTAGCTTTTCAAGGAGACATTTCTCTTGCTGCCTGTTGATGAAAAAACTGAGATGTCTTCTTACTGCAATTTTCTTTTTTTCCCTCAGGAAGCACAGCAAGATTCATTCCATCAGGAGTCTGACTGCACAGCCTTCAGAACAGCATTCAGAGGTGCCAAAACAAGTCAGTGATGTGATGAAACCCTGGTTGATGCCTTTTAAGCATTTCTTGATAGATTACTCTCAACCGATTGGTGTTTTGAAAACTGGGAAGCACAGATTTTTCTGCTCACTTTCCATTTAAATGGGAGCTCAGGAGCCCTGGGTATAAGAAGTTTTAGCTTCTGCAAGTGGAGCAGGTTCATTTCTGTTACAGAAAACAAGATGCTTCCAGATGACAAGCACCAAAAGTGAACTTGTCTGAATCAAGCTAATGACCATCTAAAATAATGCAATTCACAGTCTTAATATTGGGGTCCATGTTGTCACTGGTGGTTATGTTGGAGGAAGAGTCCTCAGCAGAGGACTCAGTAGATGAGTATCCTACTTCACATGTCTTTTAGCATTTTGTAACTTCCAAGACAAGCCCAGGAGGCGAAAGTAAAGTTGTTAGACAGATGTGGCATTTTTGTTTGCTGAAAAACAAGCCAGGAATGACTGCAGTGGCTGAATGCTGGGCTGTTCAGAAGCCTGCAGAGGGCCCTTTGGGCTTTTTGAGTGTATACAAAGAGGCTGTGCAGTATTTATCTCGTATGTTTTATCTTTCTTGTCCCTTTGGCTACTCAGAGGAATGCAAACAGGTTGATACTCAGTGGTGATGGCAGTGCTGGGGCACGGAACCATCTCAAATACCCCTTTTTACATATCACTGCATGCTACCTCCCTTATCTTCCTTTTGCTTAGTTTATGTTTTTTTTCCCCCATTATCTGTTCTTCGAGATCAGAGACCTGGGTTTCTGTCATTTACTTTATTTTGAGGCTTGGATTACTTACTACCTCTGGTTTCAAGAGATACCTATGTTGCTGCAATATGCAGTGCAAAATGCTGGTGTGTAATTACACATAGCCTTTTCCCTCTGGCTCCCTTCCCTTCCACCTTGCCCCTCTCCCATCCCTCCCTCCCGTGTTGTCTCCCCTTTGCCTTCCCTTCTTTATCTTTCCAGAGCTCTAGCTTTGCCTTTGGAGATGACAGTGATGCCACAGCAGTGCAGAGTTGCCGGCAAGGAAAGGAATTGAAAGCTTCAACAGAAGACACTGGACAACACAGGAGCCCTTCCTTGAAGAAGAGCCCAAAGGAAAGCAGAAAGGTGGATGGAGCAGTGGTGTCAACAGTGGAGGAAGAAGAGGAGACTACTAAGGAAAAGATGCAGCAGAACAGACCTCAGTCACAGCAACCAAGCACAGGTCCAGCTTCCAGGGCTGCTCATGGCAGCAGCACCTCCATTCCTTTCATTGACTGCAGTGATGTAGATAGCGAGTATGATCTTCTCAGAGGACAAATAACCCGGTCATATTCCCAAACAAATGACAATTATGAGGGTGATTTGACCAGTGGTGCCTATATTCACTATAGAGATGAAAATCGTAATAGAAATAGGTATAGGGATTCCTCAGCCTCCATAAAGTCTTCCCAGTATCTCTCTGAAGAGTACCTTGATGATAACACAGCTAATCTCTCCTTCTACGCTGGGGGAAGCCCCAGGATGCCAAGGCACAGCTCGCTGGTTGATGAACTGTTTAGAGAGCCAGGGAGCCGTAGCCCGCTGGCCACTCCATTGCCTCCCAGCAGCAAAGGGTCCAGTCCTACCATGAGCCTCAGCAGAACTGGCTCTCAGGGTTATGTCTCGGAAAACGGGCATGACTACAAGGCGAGGACTGGGGAGGAGGACAGCTATGCCAGTAGTGGCCATGACTATGGCAGATATTCTCCAGGTTCTCAGCGGCCTCATGTTCAGAAAATCCCAAATCGTTGCAATAAGTCGGGGACAGACCCGTTTATCCTGAGCCAGATATCTTCAACCCCCGGGCAGGAGTACAGGTCAGAGAGACACTGCAAAGGAGGCAGTATGACTAAAATGTCTTCTCCAGAAGGCAAAATGATGGCCAATGGTCTGCCAGGTGGGGGACAATCCAAGCAGAGCCCAGTCATCCAGTCATTGCATGCCAGTGGTGTGATGGATCACATGGCTGCAATCCAGATGATGGAGGGCTCCACCAGCAGTGGGACAGAATCCAGCGATTCCGACTCGGAAATCATTAACCCTTTCACTCACCCTCTGGTGTTCGGAAATCCCATTGTGCTGAGTTCCTCTCCCATGCCTAGAAATAAGTACTCCTTTGGAAGCCTTCAGCTTGAGGAGGAGGTAGAGGAGGATGTGTCTGTTGGCCTCAGTGATGAGGACGGTATGCAGGTCTTCAGCTGCTAGGCACTGGGGGAGTATGAGATCAGTGAAAACTATGACTGCTCATTAGACCAATTGCATTTTCCGGGGCTGGTGGAAAGTGACTGGACTGTAAAAACGAAGAGGATGGGCTATTCCAAACGTTGTCATCCTCTTGGCCAGCCAAAGGAAAGGGCTACTAGAAGTACAATAATTAGGATGAGCCTCAGTGAAGCTTTACAGTTGTTTATCCCCTCTGAAGACTAGGAGAGGGGTGGAAATCATGACTGATTTAGTTACTTTTGTAGTATGTTATGGTTAGGTAGGATTTTATACACTCAACTTTTTTTTTTTTTTTGTATTACATCATTTTTAGGTATGTACCGTAGCTTCTTTGACACTTGACTGGTTATTTTGACAAAACAAAAACAAAATGAACTAGGTACTTTGTGCTCTTTTGTGAGTCTAGTACATTTTTTTTCTCTCCCGTACAAGGAGAGATGTTCACGAGTGCCTCAAAAAGTTAAGGGAAAAAAAAGGTATGGCCAAATGTAGACAGCTTGTTATTCAAGACCAGGGCTTGCAGAAACCCTTAACAATGCTGGCAAATCTTTTCATAGCAAGAATGTCTTTGGTCTGCTCATTTTCCTAATCCATTTTATAATCTAACTTCATAAAGATTTACACAGTGATAGTATTGGCTTTTTATGTAGCGGATTCAACAGGCCAATTTTGGTAAGGGAGGTTTTGAAACTCTAAATTTTGCTCAGGCAAGACAGAGAAGATGAAAGATGAAATTCACGTGAAATAAAATGTAGACTGAAACCATTCTAATTGAGAGTGGTGTGAGTATGATTTGCAAGGCAATGCTCTCTCTCTTTTGTCAGTGTGGTATGAAGATTAATTCCGAGAGGATTGGTTTGCCTTTTTTCCCCCTCGTTTGTTCAGTGGTATTATTCCCAGAGATATCAAAGTTCCGTTGTGGGTGACTTTTGGTGGGGGCTTTGGATGTGGTCGCTGTTTGACTTTTTTCTTTTTCTTTGATCATGAAAAATCTTTATCTATATAGGATCCAATTAGTCTGTCATAGGCTATTCTTTTTAATAATGCCACCTCATAAATTTTTCATCTCCAAAGAGAGACAAAGGACTATGTAGCTAACTCTCATCTAGGCTGATTGTGTTGAGTACTGTGCATAGAGTAACTAGATTTTGGCACAGGTACTGAAAGATAGGCTAATTATATGAAAATCTCATTTTCGCATTCTAAAAATATAGGGGAACTAAGGCTATATCCTAATAAAATCTGATTCCAGTTTCTCTGAGTCGATTAAGAATATGCAGAGAAAAGGTCTCCTGTATGGTGTCCTGCAGTAATTACAGCTGAGAGACAAGATGTGCTCTTTACCACTGGCCTTATTTTTATATGTTTTATAAAAAATCAAGATTTTTAAGTGATGAACAACAGCATTGAATGAACAGCAGGTCACTTGCAGTGACCTGTACCGTGCAGTAATGATGAATCCACTCACATGAATTTTGATGAAGTCCAGTTAGAGGACTTTGTAAATTGAGACAATATAAAATTTTCAAGATTGTTTTTACAAAAATAAAAAAACAAAAAGTCCTTTTAATTTTTCTAATGCCTTGGTCTATGCACACTTTAACGGAGTTTAATCTGAATGAAGGATATTTAAAAAGAGACCTATAGTAGTCTAAGCATGTTTTGTTATATACTTTATTTTTTTTCAGTAAAATATATCTTTGTGTAAATATAAGTTTTAATCTGATCACCTATGTTAGTGTGTTGAGTTTCCTTAAAGATTAGATACCTCATCTTTAAACAGGAATGATTATAAGGCACTTCTTTTGATGGTGATATTTTGGTGACAGGGAACACTGTCCTATGTTCCTGTAGTTAAAAGCATGAATCTAGAAACAGGGAAATGGATAATGAAGAATAAAGCTTGCTTGTATGTAATTTTAAAAGAAGGTGGTTTGTGTTTGGGGCTTAGAATAGCTGTAAAATAATTGCCTTGAACATCTGAATATTTAAGATGAAATATAGGTAGTTGAAGCCTGCACTAGCAGATACTGTGAGCATGGGGAGTGTATGCATGAGTCTCCTGGGTTTTTTTTTGCTGACTGCATAGCAGAAATACCAGTAGTTATATTATACAGTAAAGTAATAGAAGTCGGGACACATGCATTAATTGCGTTGTTAGCTGGTAGAATTAGAGCTCAAGGAATGGACTTTCAACAAAAGGATTCTTGTTTCTGGTCTTGTTTCTACTGCTTAAGAAAAGTGAATAGATTTCAGATTGTTTGGATTTAAGTGAATAGGAAACTTGTAGGTGATGTTTGCTATTTTACATCCTTTCAAATACTGTTTTATTGGTCTGCTTTTTCTTCTCTCACATGCCTGCAAAGATAATGAAATTATTATTTTACAAGAACAGATCTGCTGGTAGTTGGAGTTAGCTTAGTTGCTAATAGTGTCTCAATATCTTCTTTGAATATTATCTTCAAAAAATGGAAAAAGAATTTTTCTCCAACTATTTGCTGTCATCTGGCATTTTTTCCCAATTTTATATGTTTAAGTGTTTGTAGTTTTAACGCATGTGGAGTTCTTCCAGTTTGAAGAAAAAATGTTTGTAAATTACATGAAAGGCAGTTAATTTAGAGTGAATCATTTTGCAGCACTCTTGTGCCACTGACGTTCAGTTTAATATCATTAGACAAGCATTTAATTAAAAACAGTCTGTGGGCCAAATTCCTCCACCAGACATGTGGTTCATATCTGGGGGCTTGCCAGAAATGGTAGTGAGAGAGCAGTTTTAAATTGACATTTTCACATAGGATCAGGTCCCTCAGAATTAATTGGGGAATTTGTTTCTGTGGGAGAAATACAGACAGACCTTAGAGGGAAGAGTGGAAACCTTTGGGGTGAGACTATGGATGAGGTGGGGGAATTCGTGTTATTCTAGTTCACAAAACACACACGAGAAGAGGAGCCTGTCAGTTTACGTTAATCACTGCAGGCATTGATTAATCTGCATCCCCTGGTTAATGTGCATGCTACAAGCATACATGGGTCTCAACTGTAGCAGAAGAATTTATAGCCCTGGTAAAAGATTTTGTTCTTCCCCCCAGTTTTAAGCTTTCTGCAGCTAACCGGCAGCTCAAATGCACTGTGTCAGTTGGGATCTTCTTCTGTAGTTTCTTTTTATATTAGCCTTTCCTAGAATCTGGTTGGTGAAATTTGGGAATCAATGGCTAGGTGAAGGAATTTGAATAGTGATGAGAAGGAAGCAAGGATAGGATCTTGCAGGCATGGAGTTGAGAATAACCAATACTTGAATCTCCTAGGCTGCACCTTCAGGTTTATCTAGTCATTATGTCCTAGCAAGTAAGTATTCCTTGTGCATGACAGAGAGGGATGCTCTCTCTGGATGATTTATGCCTAATGCTGCCATTTTCCCAGGATACCTCTTATTAGACCTGCCTAACATGTCCCATCCCACTAACTATTGTAGTGTGCTCTAAATATAAATTATATCAAAGAAAAATATCAGAGAAATTTCTATATGTGAATAGAAGTCAATATGTAACTGAAAATACATAGATTTGCTGTATTTGCGTGTAGCCTAGGTGAGCTATGTAGAGCTGGGATCAATTACAAAGTAGATAGAACATAATGAGAGTTGCATGTTCATAAGCTGAAAAATTAAATCAATCTACCAGTTTATTTCAATATCAAAGGGCATGCAAAATTAGACAATTTTCTCATCAGAGCAACATCTCCAGTACTGAACATAATCACCAGAACCAGTGAAGGGTGAAAAAAACCTGTTTTGTGAGTTAGTTCACTGAAAGAAACAGGCTGATTAACACTGTAGCCACAAGACTCTTTTCTTGCCCTGAATGTTTCTGTTTGCACAGATGTTTTTGGAGTACCTCTTGCAGCTGTATTCATTCTGAAGCAGTAGGATTCGTGACAGAAGTTCCTGCCTGGCATCTCTAT